CGATCTATTCAATTATAATACTACCGGTAGTGTTGGTACTAAATAATCGAATGTGTAGTATTGTAGTATAGTATAAAAAAATATAGTAAGTATGTAGATGTAAATAGATTTTTTTAATTATTACTACAGATGGCTTGGTTATGGAGAAGGTAAGATTTATCAAATAACTTTATATAGTTGATGATAAATAACTTTTCTTGATAAATTCATTAAGGCTTTGTTAAACGAAAACGTTAAAAGGGGTTAATGAGTCGGGATGGCACACTTAGAGAACATATAAGGTAAAAAATGTTAACAAAAAAATATTCAACGTTACTTATGTTATTTAATTGGCCAATTGGAGTTGTTTGGAATCTTTAGTGATAGCATAATATTGTTATTAACTTTTTATGAAAAAACTATTAAGCGCAATTCTATTTGATTACATATTTGAATTGAGCAAATAAAAATCGATCAATTACAACTTATTGTTGGACAAATCTGCAGAATTGAACTGGGGAGCAAGGTGTTTTGAGATACCTCGTGCATCCGCGAAACTTCAATCTTCAATCCGTCACGCTCTCACTTGGTTTATAAATAGATTAATTTTTTGAGTATTTAGAGAAATTTTTCACTTCTCCTGTACATGTTAATCAATAAAATTGAATATTTTTAGTATTTTTATTCTTATTGTTATATCAAAGCCGTGACTCAAGTAAATTTACTAATCCACGGCGTAATGATGGTCAACTTAAGTCACGGAGAAGCATTGCTAAAGTGCGCATTTAGGTCACGTAGTGCTATAAAGCAACTTAATTATATCGATTAAGATACTTCCTATCATTTTATCTGCGGATATTAACAAGACTTTTCTTATTGAATAAGAGCTGTAGTAAATATGTAAATATAACAAGTTCTTGTTTATTTTATTGATATAACTAAGTGCAGAGACCGTCTACATATATGCATGACGGTTCATTTCGTGATCTGCTTTACCATTATTGCTATACCTTTGATTGAAATAATTACTTGATCTTTATGCTCGGTTATAAAAAAATGATTATTGCAAAACCAGTGAACGATTTCGCATTATATGCAATTTTTAAACATTATTTTAATATCTATGTATGCCCTGAGGAAGAAATCGGTAAGAATACTATTTTTACATAATCATTTTGTATATTGCAGACTGTAAAAGAACTTAAAAAGTTAGCTCATAAAACAGCTGCTTCTGCATTGATTGCGAAAAACCAGAAGCTAGAAGATTTTATAAATAAGAGAAAACGCTTAGATGGTAACATAGAGCATATTTCGCAAAGTAAAAAATCCAAGCCAAAAATTATAGATGTGCAAATTATTAATTCGAATCCCTTGATTGAAAAGCGATTACTCCCACCTTCTGAAGAGAACCAGTCGCAAAATGATGACAATGGTAAATATATATATATATATATATATATATATATATAGTTTCTTTTAATTATGAATTGATTAGTTTTGTTTGAAAAGTGTCACGGTGTTTGTAACAAATAGAAAACATAAGGTTAGGGAAAATGGGGTGATTTAAGACATTTTTATACGTCTAGTTTTCATTATAAATGTCCTATTGAATCTTTAAATTGTACAGAAAATCTTTATAGCAAAATATAATTATATAATATGAACTTAACTATATATATATATATATATATATAATATTTATTAACAGACTATTTAAAATTTTCAGGTAACTTGTCTCATTTTATGAATTCAAGTTCACTCAATTCTTTGGAACTTCAAGAAAAAGAAAAAAGTGATTATTAGTATATAACTACATTTCCTTACTTTTTAAAATCTGCTATTAAAACCGAATGTAATGCCTACTATTGCGTGTAAAATTTTAGGGAATTTCTATGCAGCATACGATCTAGTAAGGTCAGATTATTTGACTCAATCTTCACCCCCGAAAAGCGATAGAAGATATTCATTTTCTATTGATGATGCTGCAAATGATGATTTGATTAACAATGATACAGCATATGAAGAAGATGGAAATTTACCCTTGAACTTACCTGATTCTGTTCTTGCTAGCCATAAAAGGAGACCGGACAAAGTGGAGTACGCTATGCCACCAGTGTATACGCTAGTATACATAGTATGCGTTATAGTATGCGTTAGTGTATACGCACTACGCATATACACTAACGTATGTATATAAGGTTATATAAGAGCTGTTTCCTTGAAGCAGTGCCTTAGAAATAACGCTTATACATTTATATATATATGTGTGTGTGTTTTGTATTTGTGTATGTGTGTGTGTAAATAAGCGGATAGGTACTTATGCTGACAAATTCCAAATTGAATGTGTATTTATGTCCAAATTGTGCCCGCAAATTGTACTGAATTAATGCACTTGTTCAAAGAAATTGCACATCAGCGTATATGAAACATATTTGAGGATTTTCATATCAAATGTTTATGTATCTTTAGATAAATTAGATCTCACTCCTAAAGGTCAAATGTATTCAATGGTCAACGACGGAAACCAGGTACATAACCAGTGTGATTTTATAAAATAATTCAATCATTGCAGTTACAACATTTATTTTTTTCTGATAGATTTATCTTGGATTAGACATCTACGTAGATTCGGATGTTTGGGTAAAGATGACATCAAAAAAAAAAAAGAAACCTACGATATTTTTACGAGAATTAGCAGTATTAATTTGGTCACCACAGGAACTCGTGATGAGGACATTCGACGTCAAATTGTGTCGAGCTGTTGCGCCTGGGATTGAAGGCCCTCGACTGCCTTTTGAAGAAGATAAATGGCAACTTATGATTGGTAAGAAAAATTATATGTATTAAGATTATAACACAAAATACACAACGTTAATTGATATAAATCTTTTCAGCTCTATTTACTAACTACTTAAACGACCTAAAACAGAAAAATCCCAGTTTAGATATTAATTCATACTTGAATATTGTGACTGAAATAATAGGTCAAAAAATTCAAGATATTCGGCAACGATTAAGAAGAAGACTGGAGGAAGAAAGGTTCAGTATTATTAGAAATAAAAGGAACCCAAAAAAACCTACTATATATATAAAAAAGCACTACCAAGGTTGAGTTTAGTATTCAAAACGATGTAACCAATAACTTTAACTAGATTATATCAATTTTTATATATTATTATATTCAAAATTCTTTTTCCATTGGATTTCTTGTTATTTTTTTAAAAGAATTACATTGAAACTACATTCGAGTAGGAACGGTCAACCGTCTAGGTCTAGCCACACAACAGTTGCCCCGCGTATCAGTGCTAGGCCGATTGGGAAGAGATCCTCAAAAACATATAAGGTTGACTTCAAACATATAAGGTTATGCGGAGCGGGAACGAAGATTACGAGGTCTGAAATCAATTGCAGGAAGCTTTTTGTGGATCTCTTCCAAATTGGCCCAGCACTATCGCGCATTAAAAAAATTAATCTTATGTTTAACAACTGATTTTTTCCGAACGAGTTATATTATCACATTCTATTATGTTTAGTCTTGATATGTAAATATAATCGTTTTATTTAACAGATAAAATATTAATCTACAAAAACAAATGTAATTTAGAATATTTTATATAACTAAGTTTGTTTAGGTCTGATAGTTTGTTACCATTATATAATTTAGAGGATTCGAACTCGAATAAAATTTTTTGTATCAAATTTATATCAAGTGTGTTTGGCTTATTAAGTGTGATATTTATATTAAGTGTGATATATATATATACATATATTAAGTGTGATATTTATATAAGTGTGATTATTTATATTAAGTGTGATTTCTTCCGAATAAAATCATTTATTAATATATGGTAAACAATTAATATTAAAAGTAAAATATTAGAAATAATTTATTTCCACAAAATAGTCATCAAGATCTTACGCAATTTCTTATACAAGTTCTTGAACAAGAACTTATCCATTGTGAGAGCTGCGAAAAATGAAAAACACTTACTAGAACTTGCCTAAGGACTTGGCTAAGTTCTTACAATATTTCTTATGCAATTTCTTACTCAAGTTCTTATTCAAGATCTTGACTTCAAATTTTCACGAGGGAAGTAGCGCCATAGTTTTGATAACGCTTTTCCTCAGTTCTTCTATGCATGACGGGTTGCTGTTTCGCAGTGGGAAACGAAAGAAAAAGCAAATCAGACTGGACCGTTGCATAGCAAATGCTTTGCTATCATTGTTTGCAACCATTACTCCTAACTCAACATTACAGATAGACAGAATATTATTATTTTTAGTCAGCTATACAGCAGAACTTAACTCCATAGTTTTGGTAACACTAACAGAACTTAATCTAAAATTATGTGTATTTTTATTCAGACTTATATAACATTTTTGGCACTTACGATTTAGTACTATACGTATAAGAAAAGACTAGTTTAGAAAATTTTTCTATAATCATTACCGTGGCTAATAAACTGTCATTCAATCTTCCTGATCCTTTCATGAATCAGCCCATGTCTTTTGAGCTACACATTCGAATTTCGTGTGAGATAGTAATTGAATAAATAAGAATTGTAGCAGGAAGGTTAGGAAAAATAAATGAACGATCGAAATATGAAAGCCTGCAAGAAATACAAAATTTATATTTGTTTGCATTTATTAAAAAATTATTGTGTAAAAGATTAATGAAAGAATATGATTCAAATTTACTCCAATAACAATAAGAAATACTAAAAATTTGATTATAATCATAATGTACTTTGTTATTAGTAGTTACCGGAAATAATAAAACAAAGTCAATCTAAATTTTATTTAAAAGATCAGCGAATTAATATAAAAAACTCAAAAGCCATAAAATACTACAAATATTAAAATACGTAAAATTTGTAAAGTAATCTTTACATTTGCATGATATCGTTACAAAAAATATAATCATTTACAATATTTCATCAATACTGAAATATAGATTTTATGTTTAATTCATTTGAAGTTAATTAAAACAATATTCATAACTCTTGAAAATAATCATAAGTCTATAGCATCTTTTCAATTGAATCTACATTTTCAAATATTTCTTTAGCAACACCACGTAAACAACTTTCTCGGACCATATCATCAGCAGCTCGTTCTCCTTCATTTTCATGTGTTGTATATGTATTCCAGTGAAATTCTGGAATATTTATTCCTGCCATTAATTTATTAATGTGCATGTTTCCTACATCACTATTGAGAATATCTGAAGATAATCATTATACGATGTGACGGTAAACGTCAAATTAGCGCTAATAATATAACCTAATTGCTGCCTGCGGGGGCAGCACCTACCGGGGAGACGAAAAACGTAACGAAGGAATTCGGCACGCGAGCAGACGGAACGCGCGCGATTGAAATTGAAGCAGTGAAGCATTGACTACCATCACGCTCGCCCGCTTTTCCTTTGTGCTATTACCGATCCGTGTGCCGTTAACACCGAAAAGAACAAGAGAGGAACGCCCAGATTAGTGCCAGCTGATAGTGATTGCTGTTGCCGAGGTACTATACATCTGCAGAAGGGAGAGATCCGAGCCGACGGAGAAACGTCGTCCTCGACGAGACCGAAAGAGTGTGTGTGAGGTTTCACCATCGAGGGCGAAACCGCGTGTACGCGAATTCGCGATCTGTGACACAAACACGAACAATCTTCTCGCTGTGCGACTCGCCATTGTCCATCTCGTACGTCTGCAATATAAAGGTAAGCTGGCCAGCTTAATCTCGCGGTCGCGATAGAATTGCATATATAACGATTAATTTTCCGACATCTCAAGCGTGCATGTAATAGCTCTTCCAACAAAGAGCAGCGAGCGTTCCGACACTGCATGTTGTCGTCGTGCGAGCGTCGAAGTAAACAAACACGCGGGCCGACCTGATGTAGCATATAATAGATAATAAAAGGTTCTGTTCGAGTCATTAACAAGTGCTCTCGACTCTCTTATTTCATATTGCTTCCACTCACTTTCTCGTAGATAAATAGATCTATTGGTTGACTGACGCCTGTTTCCCCACGCTCTCCGGATTACGTATTGAGCATCAATGATTACATTCGCCCTCTAATGAATCCGCGCGAATAAAAATAATTAAACGGTATCTACCCCATTACAACGAATCAACTATAATTTTTTTTATTCACGTAATAATGTGATTTTCTTTCTGGTACTTCGTGTTGTTTATCAATATTTACGACGGTGATAGTTTGGCGAAGTCGAAATTTAACGTCAAAAATAGAAACTAAGATAAATAACTCCAAGATATATTATTCTCCGGCGTTTAATTGAACACTCTGGTGATGGTTTTCATGATGAGATAGTTGATTCTTGAAGGTTATGTAGTTTGTTAATTTTTTCCGCATTAGCTACTTGCTTCAATCTCTTTTTATATACTTGCTTTATTACTAGTTTTCCTTTCCAAAACTGTTTTTCACTGTTATTTTCACTCATATTTTTGTTGAAATTTAAAACTAAGAAATGTTCTATCGTATATTACGGAACTCATGTAGATGAACACAACGATATTAAATGTACCAAGCATATTTAATGTGCGGTATTACCAAACTTATGACTAGAACTATACGAGTCAAATACGGGTACAAAAAAATAGTACAAAAATAAATAGCACAAATAAAAGTCTCTCACTCGACTAGCTCCTTGCCGTGGGTTCTGTCCTAATAATTTTCACGTTTATCATCAGTAAGTTGAGAAATACGTACCATATTGAAAAAATTCGCCCGATATTTGTGCCCGTTAATCACGCCCGTGATTTCTGCTCACAAATTTGTTTCAAAATTTTGCCCGTAATTAACGAGCACAAAAAACGGCTAAAAGTGACGGTCAGGCATCAAAACTAAACCAAAGAACGCGGTTTTCATAAAGTAAGAGAGAGAAGGAAATTGAATGAATAGAAAATTGAATGAATAATTGTACATTTATTGCGATAATAAGATAAAATATCCTAGCATTTGTCAGAACTTTTCACATTTGGGCAGTCATTTCGGGTGTTGATTTATCGAGTATTTCAGTATTCAAACGTTGCTTACTACTATGTAATCTTCATAGTACATATAATATGATATAATGATATTAATATATCATTAATCTAAATATTTTGAAGTACCAAATTAGCAATTGTAGACTTGATACAACACTAGTATCACAATGTGTATATAATACTATAATATTATTTGTAATAAAAGCTCGTGATGGTATCTTATTATGACTTTCAGAAGCTTACTTGATTGAACTAACAACATACATTTGCTATAAATTTAAATGCCAAAACCGTTATATAATTCCTATATGAGTACAATCTATAACAATAATTTCAATTATTAAATATAGTAATACTTAGTATCTTAAACTTTATGTTTAGGTGTTTTTGAATATCTTATATTTTTTGGGCTATGAAGTTTGTAAACGAAAAAGTACGAACATTTTTTAAATAAGAGGTTAAATAAAGTTAAACATTTTAGAATAAGAGGCGTTCATGTAAACAAATATTATGAAATTTGTAGAAGAAACAAATCTTAAAAAAGAAAGCTAAACTTGATTTTACATTGAACACTCCTGCTATGCTTAATGGTTACGCTAATCCGTATCAGAGGAAGACAAACTTGAACTTTGCGCTCTTGCGGAAGCTTTAGCAGCTCTTTTGAGATTCAACGATTTTTCATGTCTTTGCACTGAAAAAAATGTTAATTTTTTATACATCCACTCAATTTTTTCAGATGAAACAACAATTCTGAGACTCACTTTTAGTTTTCTCACGTTCGATTAAGCTGTTTATATGGTCACTTATGTACGTTTTCCAGTGATTTTTGTGATATTTTGCTTGCTTTTTATTCTGAGAAGTTTTATCAACCCAGCAGAAAAATGTTTCTGTAACAAATTATTGTATTCTTTGAAATGTCATGATCAATGTCGTCGTAATAAAATATTAAACATACTTCTGATAGCTGCTTTCTCGTCAGCTGAAAATTCTGAGCGAATCCTACCAGGTATACGGTCTCGTTTGCAACCGCTCAAAACAAATGCTTTGTCTATTAAATCCTCTTCTTTGTACAAAGAATGTATAAAAAATTTGATATACTCCTTAGCATCAAACATTTTCTTCATGGATTCCCAGTGCTCGCGTTTAATGCACACTCCATGCTTTAAGTGATACATTTTTCTCTAAAAAATAGTCGAGGATAATATTTATAAACCTTGTATAAATGTGTGCTTGTGTATTTACCTTTCTGCCACTGTTTTCTTCGAACCCTTTGTAATCTTGTACATGGAAAGTTGATAAATTATCTGAAAGATACTCATCGTCACTAAGCCTGGTGAATTTTTTTCTCTCTCTGCCATTACCATCCTCTTCATTCGTCTCTGACTCAGAAGAGTGCATGTTAGCATATTTTCGCATTTTTTGATAACCGTCATTTCTTGTGCCTAACGTTTCTTTTAGTAATCAGCAAAATATAGAATAATTTGTTTTTGTGTATTTCGCTTTTTACCTTTTATTTTATGATGGTCTTCATCCTCTTCACTTTCTGAATACGTACGTTGTTTAGTCGTTCGGGATTTTTGTTTTCTATCCTGCTTGGTTTGTGGATGTCCTCCGCGTTGGGACTCGTCAGCGCTTTTACCTTGATGATGTCTTTTTTTCTGAACCACTGGATTAACATAAAAAAATTTATTACAAGATAAGATATGAACAAATTTATAAAAAAAAGGCATTAACTCGGCAGAGTTTTCCAAAAATTTCTTTAGAAACGTGAAGAAAAAGTGGAACATAGCTAAACTCGATGGGGAAACCCTTTTTTAGTCGACAAAAGTACTAAAATTCATTTCAAAAATATACGACTTCTTGTTCTTTTTTCATGATTTACCAAAATCTGGTAAACGATAAAGTGAATCGGAGCTCATATTTGAATTCCTCGTTAAAAAATACATTGAAGACCATATTTTGTTTATTTTTTAGCCAGAAATTGACTCCTCCAGAGCGCGGCAAACCATATAAGCCCAAAAAAAAACGTAAAAATAGTAAAATTTCCAACATTTTGTATGTTTAATTAGTATTTCTGTTCTTTCAAGGCGATAAGAGAGATAATTTTGCAATCAAAAACTAATGATAAACAATAACTATATAAACGTTTTTCATTATTTACCATATTCTTCTTCAGAATTATCATCGTCAAACATCGGAGACCTTCGTTTTGTTGTCTCTTTTAATGTATTCTTGCTTGATCTCTTCTCATATGCATGACGACTATTTTCAGAATGTTGGGTTACAGAATGGCAAGCTTGATCATAGAATTCTATGTCTGAAACTGTGGTTTCCTCGTTAGTTATATTAACTGAAATATCTGGAAAGAATTTTAATTCATATTAGAAAATCTACTCATATTTGCTGTTGGCGGAATAAAAATAAATTCATTTTTAGTATTACTAGCAGAACCCGACGAAGTTATTTCCACAGAAGAAGCCTTTCTTTTTTCTGATCGAGAAACATCTTGGTGTTTGTGAGCAAAAGGCTCTGTTGCATGCGTATCATCTAAAGAGTCAGTGCGATCTGTAACATAGTAGAAAATTATATCAGTAATTCCAATTGTATCCATGTTGATTAATATATATATTACAAGCTGAGTTTATTACTTGATTCAAGAGCAGGAGCGATAGTAGTTTTTTGCGAGACTGGCTTGTCCACATTTTCTTGAAATTGTTCAATTATTTGTTGAGCTTTCAACAATAGTTGTTCTTGTTTTTTCATTTTTTCTTCCATCATAGCTTGCTTCACATTCCATTGCTCTCTCATTTTTTCAATTTCTTTTGCTTGGTTCTCATTGCTTAGCTGTAAATCATTAATTACTTTATGTTGCTCGTATATAGCATCATCATCTTCATAAACTAGCTTGTTCTTAGCCAGCTTGCTCAACTTTTGAGACAATATTTGCTCATCGTTCTTTTTTGATTGATTTTTGGCTTTTTCTTTAATAATCTAAAAAAAAATAATTTTTTATCAGTACTATATAAGCGATTCCACGTCAAGTCACCTGATTAAAAATTTTTTTTTTGATAGTGCTATATATATTGCATTATGTATGTAGATGATCTGTGCAAATTGTTAGATTTTTGAGCTCATAATTCGAATTTGAGAACATTTTGAAAATTGAGATTTTTTGAAATTTTGAAAAATCGCTCATTTTCATGACTGTTTTTTACTATGAAGGATCGATTTTAAGTGTAGGCATGTAAAAATATCTACGTTTCTAGTAGATTATGAATATTATATCAGTTTTGCTTAGTATATATATATGGAATAATATGGCACTGTCAACAAAATAAACAATCAAAATTTTGATCCGGTGAAATGAGAAATACCTTTTCTATAGCTTTCAAATCGTGTGCCTGTTGTTTAGCAGACTTAGATATTCCTTGATCATGACTTTTATCACCAGACTTGGCTTGGGAAGCATCATTTTCTTTCTCCCTCTCCTTTTCAGTTACCTCTCTAGCAGCCACAATTTCCGACATTACGTCACTTCTTCTTTTATTGTCAAATATGCGTCTCTTAGGAGGATCTAGCAGATCATTTATGTCATCTACAATATAATAATCATGTCAACAATTAATTCACTAATATAACTTACACAAGAGAGTCCCTTCTATGAACAACCATTACAAATATAATGTTTTCAAAATTACTTGTCTATCATATAATAATATAAAAGTCTTTCACCTGAAATTTCAAACACTTGAATTGGAACCTCTACCTTCTTGCCACCAACTAACTCAAACACTGTATGTGGAATATCAAAGTTGAAATTTTCAACGTCTGTAAAGTCCGTAATGAGGGCTGGGTCTATCAAAACAACTTTGTTTTTGGCATTAGGGTTAAAGTAACGGACAGCTGCTTGCAGCTTCCTCTCACTTGCATGTGACATGATGCTTTCTACCTAATTAATGTTATTCACAAAATTACTATGATATTTATCATATTAAAGAACTGTTATTCGAGTAAAATTATATATCTTCACTACACTTTAACAATAAATCTTACAATGGACTATTCGTTGCAGTAACATAACATACCAGGGTATGTTTAGTGTAACCATGGTAATGGATTTTTTTTTTCGGCGATTCTACTACAGATTATTTCGATTTAGTTTTTTTTAGCATTTTTTTATCGGCGGTGGCGTTTCGATCGACTATTTTTTTTTATCACGACTTAATTTATGAACGTTTTTACCTACAAATTAATCAAGTACTCAGGTTTGAATTTCGAGTTTTGTGAAACTAGTGCAACTTTGAATGTTCAAATGAAATTAAAATTTATTTGAATTTCAATAATATGTTTACCTACAAATTTGTCTCTCCCCTCTAGGTTTGAATTTTGAATTTGGAAAACTAAAATGAATTTGAATTTCTGTAATAGCTTACCTACTGATTTTTCCCTTCCCCCTGGGTTTAAATTTTAAATTTTGAGAAACTAAATTGAGTTTGAATTTTAATAATAAGTTTCTCTACTGATTGCTCTCTCGCCATGGGTTTGAATTTTATATTTGGAAAATTTTCTGAGTTTGAATTTTAGTAGTATGCTTATTTATTTATTTTTCAACCCCTTGAGTTTGAATTTTGCAATTTACAATACTAAAATGAATGTGAATTGTAATAATATTCTTACATATTTATTCCACCCCCTCACGTTTGAATTTCAAGTTTTGCGAAACTAGAATGAGTTTCAATTCATAATATTTTGTTTATACTACCGAGCGCCTTCAATGTAAACGTACGTAACCTTCTAAAAAAATCTGGAGTATAAAATTTGTTAGACTTAACCCTACCTCTTTTTTATTTTCGTGTGTTATGAAAAATGTTGCATGAATGAGAATAATTGTATCATTTACATAAAATGAAACGATCAAGGACATCAGAGTGGAGGCGTAAATCAAGATTCCCTTTGAATCATCACGAGTACAGTAGTGATGAAGAAGATAATGAGTATTACCGAACAGTGAGTTATATTCGTTTTCAACATTTATCAAATTGCTATAGTTGCAACGGGTACCTGGCGAAGAGCTCAAAAGTACAATTTGATATTTTTATTGTATCGATTTCGCCAATTTTTGTTGTACGGTGGCATTGAAAAGTCTCAGTCTTCAAGAAAATGTTACATTTCAAAAAGATTTATGATTGTAGCAAAAATAAGTAGGTATTTCGAGAATTTTTTGAAAGATGTATACTTCGGTTGCGTTGTTCAGATTGATAAAGTACCAGAAGTATCAAGCACTACAACTTATGCCAATTAGAGGATAAGTTGCTTGTAAAAAACAAACCAAAAATCCTATAGCAGGATTTTTAATGTACTGTTAAGTTAAAAAGAAAAATATTAATAATACATGTGCTTGTAATGAGCAGATTTTCGAATTATGCTTACTTCTATTTATATAATTTAAGTATAATAATTGTACATATTAGTAAGAACTTATACATTTATATAGGAAGTAATTATATCGTTTGGTTCTCAGGGTAATCATAGAAGGAGGATAGATCCCGCTGAAACATCAAAATCTGATAGTTCATTTGAAATTAGTTATTCTAATTTTCATAGTTCATCCTCTCCTTCCGCATCTACAATAGTTCCTGACAATCATTCTACATTAGGCTCGTCCGATGACAATGGAAGTTTAGCCTGCAATGTAAAATAGTATTATCAATAATTTAATACCATTAAAAACAATTATTTTAGTAATCAAATATTACCTCTAAACAGACACCTCAGTCTTCGCCTTCTGATAATTCCTCTGGAAGAGAACTGAGTACTGAAAATGATGAAAGCGAAGATGACAGAATGTATAGGGAATGGAGAGGTGACGACCCCTCTGATAATTCTGATGGAGATACTTCGTTCCAATGACTCAAAAATATATTGGAGCATGACGAGGACATAACTTTGAAAATAACAGTAAATAAAGCGGATTTATTGTTAGCTGGTTTGAAATATGGCATTGAATACGACTTATGTCAGACGGCATTAGCAGATTTATTCAAGTATGTAAATAGTGCACTACAAACGAAGCTACTACCGGACACAAGGTATCTTGTTGATAAGCTATTTAATGAAAGTAATGGCGTTCAATACTATGCAGTGTGCTCCAATAAAACTTGCAATAGCTATATTGGAGAGTTTTCTCGATCGGATCGCGAGATGATGTGTCAAGTTTGTGGTCAGATTATTGATTTGAAAAGTCCATGTTTCAATACTTTTTTTACTGTATTCAAAGTTGAAAATGATTGTAGCAATTTAATTTTACAAAATTTAGAGTACATTACCGGTGTAATTGATAAAAGATTTGAACAAAATGAAATGGTGAATGATTTTAACGATGGAAACTTGTATAAAGAATTTGTGCGTTCTTTACCTCCGAATGAAAGGAGAAATTTTGTTTCTTCTACTTTTAACTGTGATGGAGCTCCTGTTTTCGAGAGCTCGAAATACTCGATCTGGCCTATACAAATGATTATAAATGAGCTACCTTATGAAGTTAGGACTTCCAAACCAATCATTTGTGCATTATGGTTTGGCAACAAAACAGACATGAACGTTTTACTCCCACCTTTTGTTGATATGATGAACAGATTATCTAATGTGGGTGGGCAGTTCACAGTAAATCAAGAGATCCACACAATGAAAATTCATGCGCTTTGCTGTTGCTTTGATGCGAGTGCGCGTGCACCAATGCAAGGTATTGTACAATACAATGGATACTTTGGGTGCTCGTGGTGTTTACATCCAGGTGTGTACATACCGACTCTTAGAGGTGGTTGTGTCAAATATGTTTCGCTTGAAGATATGCCACCCAGAAGGACTCAGTTAGACATGATTCGCCACATGCAACTTAGTCTGGAAGTAAACGTACCTATTTTCAGTGTGAAGAGACCAACGAGCCTCGTTAATTTAGAGAAATTCGATGTTGTCAGAGGATTTGTAGTTGACGATCTACACTTTGGAGATAAAGGAGTTGCTGAGCAGATAACTGGTTATTGGATGGATACTAGTGGCCTTCCTTTTTCATTGTCCAACGACGACATTGCTGCTGTCGAAAGAATGTTGGCGTCTATGAAAGCTCCAAATCAGGTTACACGTCTATCTCGAGAATCTGCATCAAAGATCGCAGTTGGTGGAAGTCTCGCGAATGGGAAAACTGGATATTATTTTATAGCATTCCAATTATGTCGCAGTTTCTGCACAAGCAACAATACGTCCAACATTGGTCCTTATTTGTTGAAGCATTTTATATCAACAATAAACAAAATGTACACCCTGATGAACTACAACGAGCCCATGAACTTCTCTTACAATTTAGTTTGGAAACAGAATTTCTTTATACTCAACATAGCATGACGTATAATGTTCATCAATCTGAACATGTAACGCAGAGTACTGCTGATTGGGGACCATCATTTGCACACAGTAGCTACTGCTTTGAAAGTGGTAATGGTCGTTTGCTCAGAAAAATTCATGCTGCAAAAGGTGTATTATTTCAATTATGTAGATCTGTTAGCATGAGCCAGAGTGAGATAATTCTAAGACAACACTATGAAGCAAAGCCATTTACCCAACTTCGTTCTTTTATTGCTCATTTAGATAACAAATTCGCTGTCAATTCCATAAGAGGTATAAGTTCAAGGTACTTTGGGCCTTCTTCTAAAACGAAAAATAAATGGATAAGAGATCTTAATTTGTCCAATTACAGCCGAACTTACTCAAAAATGGTTAAAAACGGCTGTCTGTACACCACTTACAGACGCAAAAGGCTGAGGTCAAACAATTCATTTGCTTTCACTTCCAACGGAACTTATGTCAAGTTAAGAGATTTCATATTTGACGATGACACAAATAGTGAATTTGTTTTATGCAAAAACGTTACAGTCGCTGACGTAGATAATCCTTTTTATATCAAACAAATAGTAGATGTATCAGAAAATGTTTTTCCTGTACGAACTGCGACAATTATGAAAATCTGCGTCCATGTATCAAATGATAACAATCAATTTTTATGCGCAGTGCCAAACATGTTGCATTATTAAATGGTTGGGTGTATATATATTATTATTTTAATAAATGTACAATTATTCAGCCAACTTTGTAAATATTTCATTTCTTTCTCTCTATTTAAATGTGAAAGCCGCATCCTTTGATTTTGATGCCTGACCGTCACTTTTGGCCGTTTTTTGTGCCCGTTAATTACGGGCAAAATTTTGAAACAAATTTGTGGGCAGAAATCACGGGCGTGATTAACGGGCACAAATATCGGGCGAATTTTTTCAATAGGGTAATTTTTAGATAATATAATACCACGCCATATAAATATGATGGACAAAGTCTCAGTGAGTGTGAACTTGCATTGGTGCGCGTCGTGCACCATGCTACAGCGAGATTTATGCACAACTTTGGATTATTGTTTCGCAAATGAATTTTAAGTATAAAAATATGATGATTGTAATAAACGTGTATGTTTATGAGTTTATTTGCCTGTGTTCTGGCATGCATTCCATCTTATTCATTCTCACCTTCGTTAGGATTGATTGCCGTTTAAAAAGTCGATTCTTACGTTGCCAATTATTGTTAAGTGATTCATTCAAAACAAAATTAGGCAGATGATTTTTATTAATAAGTTGAATGCTATTACATAATAAGATTCAACAAGTGGTTAATAAAAATATCACGAAAACTGAGAATACTTTTATAAAGAAACATATGTAATTAAGAAAATGTACTATAATTACTGTGTAAATTATCTGAAAAATTGTTAACAGAAACTTAATACTGGTACTCACGACTATTAAATGATATTTCTTTTTACTCCATAAAATAACAGTTTTATTAAAAATATAAACATAATAAACTTATTTTGTATGAAATTCTCCAATCTCGTTTGTAAATCACTTTGCGTAATGAGAGTCTATGCAAGAACCTATAGAATTATCTGCACAAGCACAAGTTCTACCACCTAAGCCATCTGGGAGACATAACTGTTCATTTGTACATCTTCCATTTTCATATTGACAGATATTGGAAACTGTAACAAAATAGAATATGTAAATTATTTCATTACTTCGAAAATATTATATAATAAAATTCATGTAATTTTCTGAATTATAATAAAGCTGATCAGGTACACATATGTACTGATATAGAATCTATTAAACACAGTGTAAGCTAACTAAATTCCAGTCGTTCGCAAATATAATCAAACAATTTTTAAAACTAACAATGTCTAATTGCAACTCGAACAATTTGTTTCTTTATAACTAATTCTCTAGTGCGACATAGTAAAGAATAATACATTATGCACCAAAGTCATAAGCACAAACTCTTCAAAAGTCAGTCATTTTTCAAAAAGTTAGATCTTTGTCTTGGATAGATCGATTTAAACAATTGAATTTCGTAAACAGATGTATACAGCGGTTAATGACTTGATTCAAAATTGCTTAATTTTGCTTCTTAGAAGTTCGAAAACTAATTTTCAAGTCTCTCGACCCTCCGTCAGTCATATTTACGATATTTGATTGGGGTTGCTATATCCCTGTTTTAACATCTTATTCCAAAACATGTTTCCTTCTAAAAATGTACGATGAAATTTTGAGGAAAGCTTAATTATTTCAAAAAGGAAGCGAGGTAGTTATCTCGTTGTTTTATTTAATAATGAAGTCAGTTCTATAATTTTGTTCAATGGAATAATACTTTATTGATCCTGCAACTTTGCTGTGAGTAATCAACAAATGGTATGAACATTGTGTGACGGGTGAGGCAATCGTTGAGATTGTTCGCCCTGTTTGTCTCTGTCTCTCTTCCGCGTGCCCTTCTCTTCGCCTCTGCCACATCGATATCTTGGTGATTCGAACCAAGTATCGATGCTCGATGTGGTTTTATTTCAAGTTTAGTTCCTGAGCGGCGTCGGGGGTTGGAGCCGTGTGAAGAAAGGAGAGAGATAGAGAGAGAGAGAGATAGAGAGAGAGATAGAGAGAGAGAGAGAGAAGTAGTGTCGCCTGCGTGTCTTGCATGTGTGTACGTAGCCAGCGGCACTTGGTCGATGTTGGGTGCTGAGGGAAGGGGCGGGATTGCCGCGAGGGATAGGAAAGCGCGAATAGTACTGGCCAGGCCAGTGTCGTGAGCAATAGCTGACAAAAGTGAGAAGCGAGAAAGTGATCTACAACATTCATCGGACCTCCTTTTGGCGACGGAAAGCAGTGAGGAGACTGTGAGAAGCAACTAGCCCTTCTTGGACTTTCCGAGGAGCTCGAGAGGACGTGCAGCCACAGCGAGGGGGACGTCGAAGAATGACAGAGCAATACCAGCTGAAGCCGATCACCGGGTTCCCGACGACGCCCTTTTTCTCAGGTCAGGTATTCCTCTGTATTTTCGGTGTGTCCCTCGGTTTCCCTTCTCTCTCTCTCTTAGATAAATCGCCAGAACGTGGACAGGTGGTGCGTGCGTCTAACTCGCACCGCATCTGCCAGACGACCGGACGAGTGAGTGTGAGGCGATTCTTTGTCTCCGCTGCGTTCACTCGTAGGGAGACAGGCTCACACGGCCTTCTTTCTGATGCGTAAATCGCATCGAACCTTGTAAGCGATTAGTGAATAAAGACTGTTAATGATAAACGATTTGGATCATTTCTGCTTCTTCTCCTGTCTCTCGATTGCAGCATCCAGACCACTGATCGACGAAAGCCCATCGACGCCTTCCGCGGCTAAGCGAATGCGCCTTCCGTACTCTCCCTTTTATAAATAATTAGTGACGCTATTGACTTAACGCGTGAATCGCAAAACCATGTTAAGAAACGAATCGTGTTACAATTGTATTAATAAATAATGCGTAAAACAATGAGCTGATCATTCGATCCTTACTCTTCTTAAATGAACATGCACTACGCAATAACCCGAATGCAGAAATTAAATAATAAATAATTATTTAACTTTAAGCTAGGTTGTGAAAATTATAATCAAACATCTTTCTTCGAATATTATTCTATATAAATAATAACCATCAATAATAAGCCAAGGTTCGCTTCATATAGATATTAATTTTACGTGTTTTACTGAATACGAATTTTTTTAGTTTGAATTATTTAACATAATACTTTTTTTTGGAATACCGTTTATGTATGAAATACTTTATACTTACTTCAAACCTGCGTACATATCGTTACAGATATTTTTTGAGTTGTTAAATATAATTGGAAAGAATTAAGATTAAAAATTGTAGTATTTAAATCTTACTTTATTTATTAATAGTACAATGATGCCTGATTATTACTAACCGGTCAGTATTATTATGGATTACGATTGGAAGTTAATGTAATAATTATCTGAATTTGAAAATATTCGTTGATAAGCAATTTTGAAAAAAACTTTAAAAGAAGTTGATTCAACTGATTTCTTTGTGATTGAAATATATTATAATGGAATGAAAGAGTTAACGATCACAATTATTCGATATCTGAAATTAGACAATGAAGTCAATAAAGTAAATAATATTAAAGCAAAAGTCATTTTATGAAGTTCATAAAGATAAGAGAAGTATTGAAAACGATACAACTAGATAACATGTGTTTTATGTGTGTGTGTGTATGTATATGTTTGCGTGTGTATGCGTGTTTTGTGTGTATCTGTGCGTATAGATGTGTTTGCGAGTCTTGTGTCTCTGTCTTCTGTTTCCGTCTGTTCTTATGGTCTTGTAATTTCGTATTTTTGTCTTTCCTTTTCTCTCTCCTTTTCGTTTCTTCTTCTTTTCCATTTTAGCTCCATCATCCACGCTATCTTTTCTTTGTTTCCTATTATTATTTCTTCCCATTCTTCCCCTTCCTTTTTGCTTTTTTCACATTTTTCTACTACGTGTTTCCAATTCTCTTCCTCTTTCATACACATTCTGCATCTCTTATTTTCTTCTTTTTCCCAATACCTGCTTCCTCTCGTTTCGTTACCTAACCTAAACCCTTCCCTTATTTGTTAACCTTTTATTCTTCCCTCTCCTTTAATCTATACTTTTTCATTTCTTCTTTCAGTTCTTTCCACTCCTTTATGTATCTTGACTTTTCTAGCTTTTCTTCTAGTTTTTTTTCTTCTTTTTTCTTTCGCTTTTCTCTTATTTCTTCTCAAAACTCTTCTCTCATTTCATCTCCCTCTTCCCTTTTTCTGTATATTTTACTTTTTTCTAGCCTCTCCTCTCTCTCCTACTTCTTTTTATCCTTTTACCTTTTTCATTTCTTTCCCTTTTCATTAGTTCTCTCCATGCTTCTTTTTTATTGAGCCATCTCTTTCTTCTCTTATTTTGTCTTCATACCTCACCAGTGCGTCGAACAGGTTCATCCTTAACTCCCAATTCTTTCTTCCTTAACTTCCCTTCTACCTTCTTTATCTGTTTTTTATTTCCGTTATTTCTGTTTATCACATATCCAAAGTAGTTGTACTCTTTAACCATCTCTATCTTCTCATCTTCCTATTCTAATTCTTCTTCCTTCCCCCTTCCTTCTTCTCTCCTGCATTTCATCATCTTTGATTTTCTTACATTTAGCTCTAATTCCCTTTCTGCCAGGTATCTTTTTAATTTTTTTAGCGTCGCTTTCATTCCACTTTCACTCTTTGCCATCATCAATATATCATCTGTATATCCTAATGTCCATATTTTATTCCTTCCTATCATTACCCCTCCTTCTTCCACCTGTTTGATCTAGACTTCCAAGTCGGCGAAGGTAAGATTAAATAGCGTGGTGCTCAAAGGGCACCCTTGTCTTACGCCTTTGTCAAGTAAGTCTCAAACTCCTCAATCATTTCTCCTCCAACTTTTACATTACTCCCTGTTTTCTTATATATTTCTTCTATTCTTTTCCTGATTTTCCCATTTATCCCTTCCTCTTTCATTATTTCCCATTTTTTCTTCCTCTTTATTTTGTCAAAAGCGGCCTTCATGTCGGCAAAGAATACATACAGTTTTCCTCCTTTTTCCCTTAATTCCTTCCCTATTATTGTTTTTAATATATATATATATATTGCGGGAGGTTATATTGAGACTTGGATGAGTGTGGACGCGTCTTGTGTGAGTGCTGAGTATAACGCAATTTAAGAGAGAAGGAGAGCGGGAAGTGAAGAGAAAAGTGGAGAAAAGGTACAGGAGGAGTGGAAAGGGGTTTGGAGAAGAGAAAAAGTGAGGGATACAAAGGGCGAAGGAAGTAAGGTGAGAAAAAAATAAAGGGAGAAAGGATAGGTTAGGTTAGATAAGACAGAAGGCGGGAAAAGAGGAGCGTAGGAGAGGGATATAAAGGCGAAGACAAAGGGAATAAGAGAGAGAGTTAAGGCGGGAGCAAGGTGGGGAATTGGAATAGGAAACAGGAACGAGATGTTCATAACGCCAGGAACAGCGAAAGAGAGGGACGGTAAAGGGGATAAGAGGAAGGCAAAGAGGGTGAGAGGTAGAGACAGCGAAGAGGGCCTGACGGGAGGAAACAAGGAAGAAGTGAGGCAGCTGAAAAGGTACAAAAGTGAAAGCGAGGGGAGTGGAACAGATGGGGATAAAGAGAAAAAGAAGAAAAAAGAAGACAAGAGAAGTCGGGAGAAAGAGTGAATGGATTGGAAGAAGAGATGAATAAGATGAAAAGATGCATGGAAGGAAAAGAGACAAGGGCAGAAGAAAAAGGAGTAGATAATAGGGATGAAATGGATCACATGAAGGAGAGGATGGATAGAGAAAGTAGGGTAAATAATATAATTGTAACGGATCTGGAGAGAGAACTGAAATGGGAAAAAAAAGGAGACGCAGAGGAATGGTTAAAGGACAGAATGGGAATTAAAGGGGAAATAATAAGCCTAAGGAGTATAGGAGGACAAGAAATAAAACAGAGACAGGAAGGAATAGAGTATAGAAGGAAGAGGATGTGGCAAATTAAGTGTGCCTCATGGGAGCAAAAGGAGGGAATAATGAAGAAAAAAAGTAATCTAGGGGAGAAAAAAATATATATAGATCATGACTGGACGTGGAAACAGAGGAAAATAAGAGAGGAGGTAAGAAGAAAAGCAAGAG